CCACTGTATGAACTATTTCATTTGCGATTTGATTAAATTTTTAGTGTAATCGAATGAGTTGACTGCATTGAAGATTTTGTTGTCAATGAAGTGATGTAGGAATTTTATTATTTCTGAATAATTCCATGTATGAAGACAAGCCCATCATCTGTATGATAGTTTGCTTGTGAGAAGAAAGAGAACATATGTACAAGTTTTTATGTGAAATATGGCAAACAGCAAATATGAGTACGTCAAGTGTTTTGAACTTGAGGATGAGGTGATGTTTCCGAGTTTCATCCTTGTTTCAATCAATGCTTGTAAACTTCCCAAGCCTTATGATGTAAATGTCTTGAATTTGATGAACTCTTGTGCTGTTGCGGTGCTCCAAGAGTTTGCAGATGTAGTCCTTGCATATGGGTTTAGTGATGAGTATACCTTTGTTTTCAAGAAGAGCACCAAGTTCTATGAAAGGCGAGCTAGCAAAGTATTATCCATTATTTCTTCTTTTTTCTCATCTGTCTTTGTGAGAAAATGGCGCGAGTTCTTTCCTCAGAAGGAACTATGTTCTCCTCCCTTCCATGGGAAAGTTGTACCTTGTGCATCCATAGATGCTCTTCAGGCTTATCTTTTGTGGAGGCAAAATGTATGCCATTTGAAAAATCAATATGATCAATGCTTTTGGCGACTTGTTGAGCGTGGAATGAATGAGACGGAAGCAAGGGAGTTCATCGACGGAGCTAAGAAACGTGACTTAAATGATATTTTATTTGACGAGTTCAATGTCAATTACAATACATTGGATCCAATTTTTCGACAAGGTTCCTGTATTTTAAAGACAATGGTAGGGGCTGTGGTGAAGTACACAGAAACGGGTGCTCCGGTTAAAAGACAAAGGAGGGAGATAATCACAGTGCATTCAAAGAAAATAGCAAGCACACGATTTTGGAATGAGCATTCTATTCTTTTGAAGGAGCTTGGCGTTTTTGTGGAGGAGATTAACAATGTGAAGCCGGAGTATGTGAGGTCCTTTGAATTTGATAGCAAGTTGATGCCATCTACATGGGTCGTAGTTCGGATAGATGGATGCCACTTCCACAAATTTTCTGAGATACATGAATTTGCGAAGCCAAATGATGATCGAGCTCTTAACTTGATGAATTCATGTGCGGTGGCTATCTTAGAAGAATTTAGGCAGGATATAGTCTTTGCTTATGGGGTTAGTGATGAGTACAGTTTCATTCTTAAGAAGTCCACTGATCTTTATGAAAGAAGAGCTAGTAAAATCATATCAGCCATTGTGTCTTTCTTCACATCCACTTACGTGATGAGATGGAAAGATTTCTTCCCTCAAAGTGAGTTAAACTACCCGCCTTCTTTCGATGCACGAGCAGTGTGCTATCCATCTGCCGAGATTTTACGGGACTATCTTTCGTGGAGGCAAGTGGATTGCCACATAAACAATCAATATAACACTTGTTTCTGGAAGCTTGTTGCATCTGGAAAGAGCAAGAGGGAAGCTCAACGTAGTTTAAAGGGTGCTCAACTGCAAAAGAAAATCGAGGAATTGGATATCGACTATAATAAATTGCCAGTGATGTTCCGACAAGGATCCTCTGTTTTTTGGGATAGGGTAGACAATGTTCTCATCCATCAGGAGAATGGAGAGTCTTCTGAAAATTATGGAAAGGTCATTGTAGAACATATTGACATCATTGGATCAGACTTTTGGCTAGAACACCCTTGTATCCTTTATGGAAAGGTTGAGTCTGATAATTAAAATTTTATTGCTTTATTTTTGTGCTGCTAATTCTATTTTATTTTAGCTTGGTTTAATATTCTTGAATAAGTATTGGTATTTTTTTATTTATTTAAGACAATGAAATTGGGAAGTACTACATAGGTTTTATTATTGTGAGTGCAAATATGCATGCAAGCTTTAGATCCCTTTACTTTCCCCTTCTGGTGAATTAGTCTTTTTGCACCATTACAACATATAACCTTGGCAACGCAACTATACTTCAGGCCTGATCACAATCTGCAAGATATTAGGACCAAAATATTTCCATCAAACGAAAAAAGGTTAAAGCCGAAGAAGTTGTTTCATCAATACCCTTGCCAGCAAAAAGGAAGGAAAGATCTCTTTCATCATTGGTGGTTAGTGCTCCCAAAGTTTCAACTCATACAGTTACGTGTGATTATGCGCGTGCATGATTGTTTTATTTTTGTAGGGTTCTTTCTTAGCTGTGACTTCTAAGAAGCATAGACCTAATGAAGATACAAACAACAATGTGGACCTTACTGAAGGAAAGGCTGATCTTTGGACGCCCACGAACTGTCTTGTTGAAGCGGCCAATAGAACAAAGTCCTCAAAGTCAAATTTACAAGGGACTCCTCTTTCCAAATTAGAGCCTCCAGTTACTCCTCACGGTGGATTAGTGACGTCTGAAATTACCAAATCAGAGCCACCGACATCTATTCAGAGTGAATTACACATGCTTAAAACCAAGAATAAGAGTAATGGACATAAAACAAAGTTTGGAGATGACAAGGATGGAAACACCTTGCCTTCAGGACCAGTGAAGCGAAAAAGGCCGGGTCCTCCGAATCAAAAGAGAACAGCAGTATCTGAGATGTCTGCCTCAGCACAACTCTGTTAGATGCAAAAGGGAGCAGGAGCAACAGGAAAAACAGTCTTATTTGGTTTACATTAGTTGCTTCAGAAGACCAGTTACCTTTCTATATGCAACCTCTATTCTATTGATCATATTAATCATAAGCTATTTTTCTTCCATGGATCCTAAAGCATTTATCGATCGTGTTATTCGGGAATGGAGAAATTTCCCTGCCACAGATCTCGGCTTGCTATTTAAGAATAAAGTAACTTTTGCAACTCATGTAGTCTTTTAAGGTTTTTGGGATTGAGTTAGGCCTGGTCTCAAGTTAAGAGAAACATGCAAAGTTACTCTTTACCAGAGTTTTGCTTATAGAAGTTGGATAGTTATTTTCCCTTCCCCCTTGAACATATTACGTGTGTTTCCCTGTAATTCTGCTATCACAAACAAATAACTATCCTGTACAAATTGGGTCTCTATGACACAGTAATGGTGAAAAACGCTCCCATTGATCTGGCAGCTATTGTAGTCAGTTTCAAGTAATTAAAAGTAAAATTTTGGAACAATTTTGCTGAGAAGGGACACATGTTCAGAGAATATAAGTTTCTGTTTTTTAATATTTTGTCCCTCATATTTGCTCAATGGATGCAAAGGATATTAACTCCTTTAACATACTTTTGGAGTTTCTTTAACAGAAATGCCAAATATTTGTGGAAGCTGATTTTATGGTTATTGTCATACTTGTTTACTTGTGGGATTATCTTAAAAAGTCTTAGAAGATTATACTATCTTTGACATGTTTGAGATATTTACCTTAATCACCGGGGTGGTACTGTGCTCGTCTCGTTCATTCAAAAGTACCTCATGAAGAAACTTAATCTTTGCCATAATCCCGTCATATTTTTCCATTTCTTTCCCATGTTATCTATCAATTTATCTAACTTTTTTTGTTGAAGTTTTTAATAATAGTATTTGGTTCTAAATATGTTATATAAATATAGAGTGTCATGTTTGTTATCTGATTGAAACATATCTACACGAGACAAAGCAACCTAGTACAGATCTTGAGTTACACAAACAATAGTTTGCTGGTTCATTATAGTGACATGGTTTGATGCTATTTTCTACAGGTGGAAATAACATGTAGGGGTCAACCTGTGCTCCTATCTTTGCAAATGCATAGCTTAGTAGATATGTGTTCTGCACAACTTCTAGATCTGTGTTCTGCATAACTTCAACATCGAATAAGGGTGTTGATCTGTACATAAATGAATTTTGTCTCTGTCCACCTTGTTATTACTCACTTTAATTCCTTAATCATACTTCTCACTCTCCTCCAACTAACCACCTTGTGAATTGTAGTAATATTAGCATACCCCTATGATAGAACCCAATTAAGAAGCGAAGGCCCAAATGGTGAAATTGCATATGAACAGAAAAGCCCAGCGGTTTGGAAATAATGATAATGGAATTATTTCTGTTAAAGCAAGCGAATATATTTTTGTGTTTATGCTTGCCTCAGTAGTTAGAAGCTTCCGGTATAAAGCAATACTTGTGACTGAAGTATCTTCAAGTTTGCCATCATGTATTTTTAATATTTTAAGAAATGTTTAGACATTGCTTAGTTTTTACTTTCATAGCTGCTCTTGGTTTTTGGAGGGAGACTTTAGGTTTCTTGTGATTACTCTGGGGTACTCGGAGTCTGATGAACTTTATGCAGCAATAAACACGTGAATTGATCTAAAGATCCTTGTTTTTACTAGAGAGTTGACAACTGAATATGTGATGAGCTGCATTCGGGGTATTGCAATACTAATAAGAGGGTCAATGGAACAAAAGAAACGGGTTTTGGAGAATTATTAAGTGCTAGTAGAAAGCCTATTTCTGTGTTTTATGCAAATGTGAGGCTATCCAAGCTGAAGGTGTGTGGGGGAAGAACACAGGAGGAAAATATCAATGTGGAGAGGCTCATATACCTTTTTGTATACTGGAAGAACGGTAAAAAGGAAATGATATCGGTATAATTTTATGTGTATGTCGATCTTTTCAATAGTGATTTCATGCTCCCAAACATCATAGTATTAGGGATATAGTTTTCGGGAGATGAGGGTGTTCTTTTCTCTCTGTTTCTGAAACTTTTTTGCTTCCCCTATGTCTTGAGGGAGTTTGCCCTCCTTCAAGTAGTGCAGTATGGGCGACATCCAATTTAACTCAGGGGTGACTCTTAACGGATATTAGTTTCATTTTTTCTGCAATTGCTAAAGAACTGTATGCACTTTGATTTTGAGAGTGATTTATTCACTAAACAAACAACATAATTTGGATATAGAATTTATACTATATACTTCATATAAAAAAATAGTATATGGATGTCTCTTGCAAAAGATTTTATAAGCTGAAATACTTTTAAGACACAGAAAGCCTTCTTCTCGGGGTTGATCTACGTCGAGTGGGTTTTGGTGACACGGGTGTATCTTGTCCATCTCTTGGTTTTACATGAAATGAGTTCTTGATCTTCCGCCAATTTATACCCAAGCTTAATGAATTCTTTGGCTTTTCTTTGTTGCTTAACTTTTTATACTCTTCTTGCAACTCAAAGTAGTCATTCTGCAGTTCTACCATCTTGGACTTTACATTCTCGAGTTCTGCTTTGAGTGTTTTAATGTCATTAGTTGCAGATGTTTGGTTTCCTTCTTGTTCTGAGATGATGATTCCACTTTGGACTGGTTCCTTCTCTTGCATTGCTGCTCTCATCTTTACTTGCTCTGTAAACAAAACCTGTGGCGAACACTTTCTTGGTGATTGTTTTTTAATTTACCATGTGCGAAACTTAAATAACTGAAAACTAAGTTTGAGAGATCCAGGAAACTTTACCTGGACAACAGTTCTTAGAGGCAATCTATCGTTCTGTGCAGCATGTAAACATGCGTCAAGTGAGAGTTTTTCACAATTCATTATTTTGCAGAGTCTTCTACGGTCATGGTCTGTCAGTAAGGGATGGGTCTAGAGAAACGCCAATATCAAATGTCAAAACTTTGTTTTGAAATCCCTTTTATAACACTTTAAAGTTTAAACCTGGAACTCGAGAAAATAAGAAGTGAACAGCTAACCTTTAGGTAAGTGTCAATGGCTCTATATAGACCGTCATCAAATGATCGAGTATGTTCTGGTAGCAGTTCAGCTAAGACATGGAACTTTGTAATTGAAAGATTTGGATCTGTTGCAACTTCGGCTAGGTAATTATCTAAGAGCCTGCTGATCTTGAATTTTCCAGACTTTTGTTGCTGTTGCATATGCTGTTTTTCATGCATCAAGAAGTATTCAACGATCCGTTGCACTACGTCTATGTCTTGCATTGTGCAGTCTTCAAGTGAATTAGGCATGCTGCAAATGAAAAAGAAAAGAATAGAACAAAGAAAAGATAGATATTAGTGTCTTTGGTAATTTTCATAAGCCTTTAGAAAAAATGAATTGACCATACTCACTTGACCATGATTCTATGATCTCCATATTGGTATCTAGGAATTAAAAGATCATTCACCTCAGCATCTTCTAACACAGCGCCAACTCTCTTTTCAAGGTCGGAAATGAGAGTTGGTGATACCGAATACATCATTGCCATCTTTAACATTTGCAACAAGAACTTACATGGGACAGCTTCTTGTTGAGGAGGAATGATGCTTATTAGGCTTTCAATAATAGTTGTTTGCTCCTTACTATGTCTCGTGCTCTCTTGTTTGTTCATATTAAATATAGTGAACTGTAGATTACTTTTCCCATACCCATATCCTTTTAGCCCTTCCAACTCCTCATGCATTCCTGGTAGCCATTTCTTAGCATATTGCATAATACAGTTACCAATTGTCTCTGACTTGATTCCCTTTGCTCTTATCGCTGAAATTATCCGCATAAAATGATCAATACGGAAGGTGGCCATATCATCAAACCACCAGCTATCTTGATTGGATGCTGCATCCTCACCCGTGGGCTCATTTTTAGAAGCCTTCCAAGCTAAAGAGTCGCAGCATCTTCTAACAATTTGAATGTTTTCAGCCCACGGAGAGAGATTTTCGCAAGATTTCAGAACAGTAACCGTGTCTTTCCATGAAGAAAGCACGACAAATGTGAGGAAAGCTTCAGTCTTGGAAATGAGATTGCCATCTTCTAGTTCTTCAGTCATCTCTAGGAATTCTGATGCACATCTTAGTGCAGCTACATTATCTGAGTTGAAGTCTATGGGGAGATTATAACAGAATTTTAGAATTGTTACAAATGTTTCAGATCCACCTGGAAAGCTTTCAAGCTTTAGCACATTGCCAGAATTTGAGTTCCGAGGCTGAGCTTCCAACCTTTCTATGTAGCCGCATTTCGATATCAAGGGGTACTGTTACACAAAAAAGAGTAGGCAACATAAGAAAACTTAGTTGCTATGTGCAAAGTTTGCTTTCTTTTTTATCTTTGCTTTCAGTTCATGCATTTTAACTGCAAAAACTTGACCATGTTTTTATTCTATTTCTTGTTTTAAAGAAAATTTGCTAAGGTAAGGTAAAGACATTTTTTTAATCTTTACTAGTTCTTTCTTTTTTACAAAATCATGAAAACATTAAACCAAATTAAAACAGTGTCCCTATTTTCTTCTGTTTTGCTTGCTTCTATGGAGGATTTCTTTTTATCTTTAGTAGTTTTTTATATTACAAAAATCATGAAAACATTACACCAAATTAAAACAGTGACCCTTTTTTTTGCTTGCTTTTATGAAGGATTCCCAATCCATGTCTGATGTTCTGTCTACGAACTTTTTCCCCTCTTTTCCCTATCAAAAGGGTGATGGGGAAAAGACACATGGACATACCACACACGCGTGCAGTCACACACACTAGGAAGAAAAGAATAAATGGTTTATGCTCTATTGACAGAATTGTGCTCTTCGCCAGTCAGTATCAATCATTGATATCACTATCTTGTCCCATACACTGCTGATGATACTACTCGGAAGAATTTTACTGAGATAAATCAGAAGATCTACAGTTTTCTGCATTTATAAGGCTTTATGCTATGATGTTTACGATACCTTGTGTACATTATAAGTGGTTTCCTGGACTTCAATTGAATAGTCGGTTGGGATTCGAGGAGCAACAAACCTACAAAGAACGAAAAAAAATCATTCATACAAAAAGAACCAGTGGTAATTAGTCTCAAAGCATGGGGGCTAAGAAGATAAAGTAGGAGCCATGGATGAGAACCATCTTTAACTTGACATCAGTAGTTAAATTCATATATATACTTTTACTGGCTTTTTAGCTGCATAAAATATAAAGGATTATATATCTGACAGTACCTTGAATGTTCACTTTTGATGCTATCAGCTATAGTAACATGTTTGTTGGGAATAACTATGCTTTTATCTGAAATTTGATCAGTTTTTTCAGACTGATTTTCAGGGTCTGGTGCTTGGGCCACTTGAAGTGATTTCATGGTGATTCTTGAACTAACTGTAGCATGCTTGGGATAGACACTCCATTTTGAGGACTATCCTGAATGATATAAGAAACCAGACATGTTCTTTAAATTAATGCTAAGATCGGTTCTGTGGTCAGTGTATAACTGTAGTTAAGACGGTTGGTTAGTTGTTTCTTTCTTTCTAGACCATTTCAACTTCAATGAAATTCTGTCATCATATGGAATGCTATAATTGTACTGATGTTTAAGTTAAGCCATGTATACACATGCTTCGTGGTTTTCTCTGTGTTAAGCGGCTTTATTTGACTTTATCTGATTTTCTCTTGAGTGAAATTATTTAGTTAATGAAGATTGAAACATTTAGCATTAAAGGCTTTCACTATCAGTAATGAGTTATGCATATGTAAGCATTTGCTGATATGTTACTTAGCATGGATACCCCAAATACGACCTGACAATGCCACGATGATACTGATAATAATTTTAAAAAATGAATAAATTAAACATAATCACAAATGTTAGTACAGATGTCTGACACATACACTGATACGTCATTTTTCAGAAGTGTTGGTGCTATGTAGCTTTTGTGTAAACATCGTAAAAACAAAATTTACAATGTAAGTAGTTTTTACAATGAAACAAGAATTACTTTTTATACAATATTTTTCTCTTTTATTTATTTTTCAACCTAAACATAGCAACATCCATATTTGGTTGCTATGAAGGATCTGGGCCATCATTTGTCCCCCATTAGCCATACAAAGTGCAAAACAATTGGCGAAACGTGGCTCACAATACTAATCGTCTTTATTTACATCCAATTATTTGTATAGTTCTTTTTTATCCTAAAACTATAAAAACGCAGAATCAATATAAATAAGATTAGTTTCTATACACTTAAGATGTAATAGAAACTATTGATGTATGTTATAGAAAGCGCGATTATCCATCCAATTTGAATTTTTTCAAAGGAAACCAAGGAAATGTCAATAATGTAGCAGCTGAAGATACTAGAGAAATGCCTACGAAGACTAGAGATGAAAGGAATGTGTCTTTAACTAGAGATGAATATAACAATTTGATAACTTTACTTGAAAATAACAATGTTGATGGAGCCAAAAATGTGAGTAACATGGTTAGAGGAGATAGTAACAATAGAAAGTAGCAGGTAAACATTTTGATCTTGATCATGCTTTCAAACTCAAAGATGATAATTATAATTGAATCTTAGATGAAGGAATCAGTGACTATTGGATGAAATTTCGACACTTATTAATGTTAGAAATAAGTTAGGAGATTTAAAGTCATATTCTGAAGAAAAGTATGATGATTTCGACAGCAAACAATGACAAAGACGTTTCGACGAAAGTGAAGATTTGAAATAGGATGCTGGAGTTTGAGGAATTACTTTGAGAGAGTGTACGTTATTTTCGACAGGGAAATATGAAAGATTTAGTAGAATTTTTTTTACATAGAAGGCGCTATGGTTTAAGACTTAGAAGTATTTTTAGTTTAGTTTAGAGAAACATTCGACAAATGTAACTCAAATTAGGCTGATAATTACTTTTTGGCCTTATCCGTTCTCAAGACACGTGGGAAACTTTGAAGCGACGCAATGCATGCAGATTGAGACGTGACGTTTTCTAGCAAGAAAATTGTTAGATGACAATTATTTTCGATTTAGTATAAATAGAACACTTAGCATTTAGATTAAGGGTGTTCAACAATTATACAAAAACTCTAAACTTTACTCCCAGTACATGCGTGTGAGAAAAGAGTGTTTTTGAAAAAAAATGTATTTAAAGTCAGTTTCAACATTTATTACTTGTCACTTATCTTCAAGTAAATTACCTCTTGCAATCTACATTTGTGTACTCACTTAAAAGAAATCACAATATTCCCTTAACAACTTTGAAATATATTTGAAGAACATTGTCTAAATGCTCATAATCAATAAGTTCATAAAGTAAATATCAACACATATCATAGGATCAATCTAGTCGTTTCTGTAAGTGATAAAAAATTTAGTAACTTTGGAGGACTAGCGGTTGTTTACCATTTTCGACAATAAACAAATTGGTACGCCCAGTGGGACCGGTGTTGTTAGTTAGAATTTATAGAGATATTTAAAAGTTCTTTATTTCTGATTTCCTTTAGTTTCATTGCATGAGATTAAGAAGTAGTAAAGTAACCACTAATAACAAGAAGGAGACGTGTACGTGTAACAATGGCGAATTCGCCAAGTAATAATGAACTACCCCTTCCTTCGACGGGAGAAACTACGACCACAATGTTTGTGTCCGAAGTGGTTCCATCCACAGTAAGTACGACGGTAGTACCATCAAATACTTATAGTGGACTTATCTTGTTCCCTGTGAGGACCTAGGGGCAGCCATTAACCACTCCTCTAGTGGGCAATAGTTCATTCAGGCCTTTTGTGTCTGGATTCACAATACCCTTAAACAGTCGAGAACAACCGTATGGTATGCCAACTTCAATGATGGCTAATTTATATAATGAAACTGCAGTGTTCGACTATCCATTGGTGAATACGTTTTCGCCAGTGCAGGACTCTGTTTCTGCTGTAAATAATATGGTTCGAAATAACCCACCCCCAAGGATAAGATTCTCTACCCAAATGCCCAATTTTACTATGAGTTCTGCAGTAGTGTTGAGGCAGCAAATGGACGAAAGTAACCATGATATAGTCCACATGCTTACCCAACAAATAGGCACCATATTCAATCTTTTGATTCAAAATACCACCCAAACAAATCAGCAATTAGAAGCACGGATGGCTAGAACTGCATATTTTTTTGGAGTTTCACTAGCCCATCGACAGATCCGAAGGGATGTGATAGTCGAAAACCAGGGGGAAATCCTTGAAGAAGGCCTTACAATTAACCAAGTCTAGCGAAACGTACCCTGTGTTGATGTGGTTGATTAAGGAATTAGAGTTGAACCTCCTAGGGTCGAACAACCAGTTTCAAGGGAAATGGAACCTAGGGTGGTCATAGTTAATAGGAATCAAAATGTTGACGAAGTCGTACATCAAGTTCGAAATGATGGTATGACTGGGGATAATAATTTAGTTGCCAAGGTCGAAAGGATTATGGCACAAAATAGTGTAAATGTTGGCCTTCATAGGCTAAATTGTATTTCCCCATTGTCTGATTATATTCTGCAAACTCCTTTGCCTAGGGGATTGAAAGTCCCAAATTTTACAAAGTTTTCAGGAGATACTAGTGAGTCAATTGTCGAGAAGATATCTAATTGAAGCAGAAGATCTTGTCAATGACGAAAAATTACAAATTAAGTGCTTCCCTAGTTCGCTCACTAAAAACGCTTTCACATGGTTCACTATACTTCCTGCGAGTTCAATCCATGATTTGACTTGTTTAGAGAGATTGTTCCATGAGCAGTTCTACATGGGACAATCGAAGATCAGTCTTAAACAGTTGGCTAACATTAAGCGTAAATTTTCTGAGACAATCGACGACTATCTCCATAGGTTTCGTCTACTAAAGGCAAGATGTTTTTACACAAGTGCCTAAACATGAATTGGTCGAAATGGCCACTGGTGGATTAAACTATTCCATCATAAAGAAGTTAAACACTCAGCATTTGAGAGATATGACCTAGTTGGCCGATAGGTTTGACAGGTGGAATGTTTGAAGCCTGAAAAAGACAGAGCAACTAAGAGTAATAGGAGAGAAGGTGTAATGCATGTTGACATAGACGAAGATGATTAAGAAGCATATAGTGACCCTGTAGACTTCGACGAAAATGAAATTGATTTTCCTGAGTTAAATTAAGGGTCACCTTATTCATGCAAGGTCCTTGTACCTTCAAATGAGAAAAATCTCGTCGAACCAGAAAATAATGATAAGTTCCCTAAGAGAACATATACGCCTGACATCATTAAATATGACGAGATTTTCGACTTGTTAGTTAAATATGGTCAAATGATAGTGCTTCTTGGCGCTAAAATGCCTCCGTTAGAGCAACGAAAGAAACGCGACTTTTGTAAATATCATAAATTTTTAGGCCATAAGACCTCACAATGTTTTCTTTTCAGAGATTTGTTGCAAAATGCTATCAAGAACGAAAGGCTGAAATTTGGAGACAAGACGAAGTCTCAAATGAAGATTGACTCAGATCCCCTTCAGGTGGGAGACACCCATTATACTGAGCCGAATATTATTAACATGGTCGAAGCATCTTTAAGCTGCAAAAAAATCAATAAGATGGTTGAAAATACTGAAGGTTTCAAGAAAAAGATGGATGAGACTAAGGCTAGTGAAAGCCTTGTGGTCGAGGATGTGAGTAAGGCTATTGAAGGCCTTAAGGTCGAGGATAAGACTGAGGCTATTGAGGGCCTTAAGAGTAAGGAGGAAATTGAGGCCAATGAGGGCTTTAAGATCAAAGACATCAAGGAGGCTATTGAGGGCCTTAGGGTTAAGTTGGAGAAGGTGAAGATCAATGATGGCGCCAACCTGGAAGTCCACATGGTTGAAGTAAGTGGTGAAAGGAAAGCTCACAAAGAGAGTGTTCTTCGAACTGAGCAACAAATGAGGGTGGCCTACCTTAAGTGTGATGAAACCTTGGTAGAATTCCTCCACCGTTTCCAGAGGAAGAAATCTAAGAGTACGTTGTGCCCCAAGTGCATTTAAGTGTTTGATAAGAAAGCTGTTGAAAACCTCGAAAGAGTTTGAATAGCCAGTCAAAGAGGAAAATAGAGAGATACTCGTAGTCATTTTACCTTTGATAAGAGGGGGGTTCCTAGGAGGATGGAGCAAGAAGGCCTAAGTCTTCAACCAAATAGGCCTGATACCTTTAAGCCAACTGCTGATGCACCCAAAGGAAAATGGGTAAGGCTGCTGAAAAAAGGGAAAGAGGCCAGGAAAAGTGGCAAACCTTTAAGGTAGGAAGAGGATCTTTGATGGCTTATATGAAGGAGTTCCAAGTATCGAAGCAACAAGCCTTCAGATCTGAAAACTACAATGGTAAGAACCCTATTAATGGCTTTAAAGATTTGAGCAAATTTTGGTAAAACAGGATGTTGCAGAAGATGTTCCAACAAGAAGAATTCTGCTGAAAAAAGACATGTTGGGCAAGATGTCCCAACACGATGTTTTGACATCGTGTCTGTTACTGATGTACATGATTTTGTTTCAGCAGAATATTTGCATATTGTTCCAAGTTTTAAGGCATGGATCAAGGAATAATTAAACAGATATTTCGAAGCCCATGGATTGCTGAAGATTATAAAAGGAAGACTAAGACCTAGGGTAGAAGATGAATTCTTATGAAGACTTTTGTAAAGTAGAAAATAAGGATTTAGGGTTTTGAGTGTTGTGTACTTTCTTGTGTTGTAAGTAACCCTTTGTATCAGTTGGATACATTGTGGTAGACATATGATTACAGATTCAGAAACCTGTAGGTAATGAATCATGTATTGTTCTTGGATGAAGCTTTGGAGCAAATCCAAGTAGGATTGTTAGTAGAGAGTGATTGGTTGACATTTGTATTGAAAGAGGTGTCTTTCAAGTAGAATGATAAAATAATTGTGACTATAACTGTTAGATATCACGAGTAGTGATTAAGGGAGTGAGATGAGTTTCTCTTATCAATTAGATGTGACTTCTAATGATAAAGTTTTCATTGGGTAGGGATAGGTAAACTGGAGGTTGTTTACTGTAAACTAGAAGTTATTTACATAAAACTATACTAATGATAATGGACTCTTATTCCTGGCTTGTAGCCCCGAGATGTATGTGAATTGCACTGAATTGGGTTAACATATCTTGTGTTATTTATCATTCTACAAATTTAAAGTTCAGTATTTGCTTATTAATTAACATGTTTTAACAGATGTTGAAACACCTGTCGTGATTCTGTTGCTGATATTCATAATGTCAGCTTGTTTATTTTGCCATTGTTTTAAAGTTATGCAGAGAACAATTTTGTGACATGTTGTTAGGACATCTGCAATCTTCTTGCCAGAATTTCAATTGGTATCAGAGCAGGCATTCTATCTATTTCTTGATGAGATCTTGGGAGATACTTTCTAGTTCTTTAAATAAGGTGTGTGTTTGTGTGATCAGACCCTTCATTCTGATGTTTTCAAAGGTATTGGATATCCAGAATGATTGGTAATGGATCAAGGATGACATCAATTGGTTGGTTTTTTTTTTTTGCTTCTGTGAAGATGTTCTTGCTGCTGCTGGTGTTGAGGTTGATTTCTGCATGGTGTCCACTAAGATGTCTTTACATCTTGACTGGAGCCTGCTGAAGATGTGTTGTTGTTCCACTGCATGTGTTTCTAATGAAAGGATGTTGATAAAGCTATATTGAAAACTCTGTTTATGCTCTGGTTTCCATGAAGGCGTCAACATCTACATAATTTCTAGTTGTTCCAGTTAGGATAATGGAATGGAGAGAGTTGTTTGTCGGTGTTAGCCTTTGATGTCTTGATACTTGGAAGGTTGGTTCCTTCAGGTATCTTGAAGTCATTTTGGAGGAAAGATGAGATGAGTTATAGGTTATCAAATTCATGGTCTATGAAATTGGTAAACTACCCTTATAATGACAAAGCTACCAAAGACACTTGAGATTTCTCTCAAGTCCACTCATAAAGGCTTGTCTGTTATGTCTCTAGAGTTCTCTGGTTGATCTTCTGAATCAAGGATGTTTCTGAGGATCATCAATCTGAAGAAATTGGAGGTAATTTATTTTTACCATCCATGTTTTGCAATGGCTTCATCAGCAAGAGAAAGTCATAGGCAGGTTGAGTCAAGGGTGTCAGTCCTGATGTTTCAACATCAAAGATACTTGCACTAAAGAATAATTTTGGTATTATTGAAGTATAAATATTCGTTAGATGGTCTTCTCGATAAGATGTGTGGATTTAAGATCAATTGCTATTTGTGGAAAGCACAAGTATTTAATTGGTTATCCATGAAGCTCAAGACTGTTGAAGTTCAGACGGTTCATCAGGTGGATGATCCAAGTTAGTCTTTTGGAAGAAGGATTTCTTATAAGGATTTAAGATTCATTACCACTCTCAAGTATTTAATGGATTATCCTTAGTTGATGATCAAGGTGTCTCATCAGTTGATGCTCAAGTATCTGGTCCTTGGATCTATTTGGACTACTTTAAGGATCTGATGCTCAACCAGATGTTGAAACATCCCATCAACAGAGTTTGTGCAGAATCTTGTTGATTCAAGGAATGAATCTCTAGGATAAGGAAAGGGAATAGCTTACGCTCTAGGAACCAAACTTTTGTGTGTTAACATAAAGTGATGAGAACCTTCTTCTGGTTGGATCTGTAGAGGCGCATTATCTGACTAGGAAGTTTCATGGTAGGAAACTTATCTAGAATATGGTGATGATGGAAGTGGTGGGAAACTTATCTAGAATATGGTAGAGGCATGGGAGTGTGTTAATAAATTTTTTATTTATCATTCTTAAACAAATCTTGGAGTCGAAATTCCCAGCCAACACCTATACCTCTGATTTTATATCAAGTGCATCTTGTTCTCTATTATGCTAAATATGTTGTTTAGTAGTTTAGATAAAGTCTTTTACTATGTGCTAGAGCATCAAAGTCTCTTGTTGAGAAGCTTGAGTCAAGTAAGTCTCCTGCTATGTGCTAGAGCGTTGAAAGTCTTGATCAATTGTTGATTAAGCAAGAAAGTCTTTGACTGTGAGTCTGAGCAGAAGTCTTGTACTTGAGGGTATGAGCAGAAGTCTTGGGTTCGTGGAACCTGAGCAAGGAAGTCTTAGGCTGCGGTCTGAGTAAAGAAGTTTTGAGCTTGAGGGACATAAGCAAGAAGTCTTGGGTTCATGAAACCTAAGCAGGAAGTCTTGGACGCGAGGGTCTGAGCAAGGAAGTCTTGAGTCTGAGGGGCTTAAGAAGAAAGTCTTGGGTTCGCGGAACCTAAGCAGGAAGTCTTGAACTTAAGGGTCTGAGCAAGGAAGTCTTGAGCATGAGGTGCTTAAGCAAGGAAGTCTTAAATTCGTAGAATCTAAGCAGGAAGTCTTGGACCTAAGAGGTTTAAGCAGGAAGTCTTGGACTGAGGGTCTGAGAAAAGAAAAGTCTTGGACCTGAGGTTTATCTTCCTTTTGTTTTCCCTTTCTCGAGCGATAGAGGTAAATATGTCATTCTACATGGGTGAGTTACAGAATCATTAAATGCTAGGAGACTCATGTCATTGCATGAACTCAAATCTGACTGGTGAAGTCCTAGTTGCTTGATTGTATCGATGTAAAGAAAGTTATACGAACTCCTATCGCCCACGAGGAAACCTGCCACTACGTGACTCGCCACAATAACTATTATCATCAGTGGTAGCTCTACGATTGGGATTCTATCTATCTTTCCATGATCCCAAAATCCAAGCATCAACCTGTCTTTACTTTGTGATCTAGTGACATTCATTGCTTAGAAGAGACTTTGCGGTGGAGGATCTTCGTCACACAACACTCCCATGCAGATCTTATCAATGATAAAGGATCGTTGTAGTTTAAGATCGTGGAACAAATATTTTTATTAAATTTTTTAGTCGTTAAATCTTTTAACGATATATATATATATATATATATATATATATATATATATATATATATATATATATATATATATTATTTATTTTACTTTAAATTGGCTCAAATAAGTTAGTAGGATGACAATTTAATTCATCCATAATGGGTATTCACAAAATTATTCATAATGAATAGGATAAAAATCCACAAAATAAATACCAATGTATGACTATTAGTTTTTAAAAGTTTATCAATATTAAACTATTATGTATTTAGTCTAAGTGTTTGTTTATTTCAACAATATTTTTTTTTTTGAATTTTTTTTAATATTTTTAAAAATTTAAAATAATGTTATATTTTATAATTGATATATTTATTTTTAATAGGAATGTAAAACATATTCATAAGACAGTGTATAAATACTAACTGTGCTGTCCAAATATATATGAACTCAGATATGAAAAAATTTTAAAATCAAATATATGTATCATAATATAGTACTATTGTCATCCATCAAACACTCAATTGATTAGGGACCAAAAGAATAATTAAAGAAAGAAGAGGGGCGAAAAAGTTAATAAGAAACTTGGCATGATGCGGTACTACTACTCAACGTGGTTAGCGGTTTCGGCTCCTATATATAAATACGACTAAGTCGAAAATGGCGTGTATTTTTTTTCGTCATCTTTCATTTCGTCTCTTTCTCTTTTGTTTTCGTTTTCAGAACAACACATTTTTCATAGATTCATTCAGATCTCAAATTTCATTGAGCGAGAACAAACCATTTCTCACACATGGCGACGGTTTCACCTCTCGCCAAATACAAACTCGTTTTCTTAGGCGATCAATCGGTTGGTAAAACCAGCATCATCACCCGTTTCATGTACGACAAATTCGACACCACCTATCAGGTTCCATATTCCTCCTTTTCATTCATTCTCTATCTCGATTTTGATTCTGGTATGGTTTATTAGGTGAAATCAAACTCGAATTGAATGCGTTGATCTTTTTTGTTGATTTCTTATTTTTATCACAGATAATGACATTTACGATATACGTTACTATCACGTGAATTAATAAGAATTAGTATGATTTTGATCAATGATCACAAGTGATTCATTAGAACTTTGGATGATCTATCCCTAAATTTTCATTCAACCAGCTTTAATATCAATTTGAACATTCAGGAATCAGGGATCCGTGATTTGAGTCTGTGAAACTCTTGATAAGGTAGAAGAGCTTGAAATTCGTTGATAAGTTTTTTTTTCAAGGTCTTTATTATTATAGCTGTGTTGATTTTTAAGATGCTTGTTAAATTTCCAAAATCTTATAATGCTTGTCATTTTTATTAGCATTCACGAAGATAGCTTTAAATGGAGCCTTATTTTCTTTGTTGATTTTCATTTGAGCATTTGCATTTTCCTTCTCTATGTTGCTTACAAAATTTTTGGTCATATAATTTCAGGCTACTATTGGCATTGACTTTTTGTCGAAAACAATGTACCTTGAAGATAGAACTGTTCGTTTGCAGCTTTGGTAGGATAAGTTCCTTTTCAAATCTTATTTGTACAAGCTTAATCTATTTATATGTGTGTTCAATTTTAAAAAATTGTTTTAGAGGAAACATTAGGTTTTAAAAAAACGTGATTCGCAATACTGATTGCGATCGTCGCGGTGTGAATTAATTTCAATTTGTTCTTTAACATAAATGAATAACCGTATGGTATCAGCAGGCGCCGATACCGTTTTGTCACTGTGGTTTTCGTAGTTGCGGACCATTTTTTAAAATTACTACAGGCGTTGTAGCTATGTAAGTATTTTTTGTTTCACCTTTTCTTTTTACTATATCTGATCTTAATATATTTAATTTCCAGGGATACTGCAGGCCAGGAAAGATTTAGAAGTCTTATTCCAAGCTACATAAGAGATTCTTCTGTTGCAGTTATTGTATATGATGTAGCTAGTAAGTTTAATATTTTTAGTGTTAATTTCATTATCTATTTAACATGATGCTAGTTTTTTTTACCTTTTCTGATTTTCTCTTGATGTTGGACTCCAAGACTTAGTGTGTTACTTGGTGAAAAGAATTTAGTAGCAAATGAATGCATTCTTCAATTTATTGGTGTTTGAGTGAGAGTGACTGCTCTGATATTTTCTAGAAACACATTATGTTTTCATGACTCATGAGAATATCTCTCTCCCTCCCTTCCTGGATGTGTGTGCCTGCATTCGAGCATACGTCTGTTCTCTTACGACTTCTTTATATCTGAAACTATTTCCGTATTTGGATCTGGAAGTTATTTAGCCTGTACAATGCTCGTTTTTCAGATAAATATCAGTATATTTAACCTCAATTAGTTATTAGCCCTAAGTAAGCTGTTCTAATGTAGACAGGCAATCATTTCTGAACACTAACAAGTGGGTTGAGGAGGTGCGTCAAGAACGCGGCACTGATGTTATCATTGTCTTGGTTGGAAACAAAACTGATCTTGTCGAGAAAAGGTGAGTGCTGGGTTGCTGAGTTCAGTCTATATATTCACAACCAGTTTCCAGACTGGATATGGTTTAGTTTTTGTAGAATATCACATGGGATTTTTCATATTATGTTTCAATGTATCTTGTTTATTTGCTCAAATTCTTGGCAAAGAGATTGTTAATAATTTACCATGTTCTTTATAGTTTTGATATGATAGAATTGTTGTTTAGCCGTGGAGTTCCTAATAACCAATTCAATTAATTAATTCATTAACTTCATCAACGATGGTTGATCACAATCAACTTGGTATTATAATACATTGATTAAACAACACTCAAAATATAGAGGATCCTACTAAGACTACTTTATACTGTTGTCTATCACATATAAAACCATATTTGCAGTGAAGTTAATATCTACAGTAATGGAGTTTCTTTTTAATCTAGAATAGCAAATGTCTGGTAGATTAAATATAATTTCAGATACTTAGGTATAAATATTTTTTTAGGGTGTGAAATATGTATTAATAGTTGCTAGCATTATGATGTTACCATCTAATTTTATATTACCAGGTAGCTTGCACTTTGTGTTTGGCTTTGAAGTTTCAAGTATTGCAATGTTACAGTCTAATTATTTCTTACATGTTCGCTATGTTACTTAACAGGCAAGTTTCTATAGAGGAAGGAGATACCAAGTCCAAAGAGTTTGGGATAATGTTTATAGAAACAAGTGCAAAAGCAGGCTTCAATATCAAGGTGAAAACTAATGAACTTTCATAGTTGTTACTTGCTCTGGTGTTTTTGGTTTATTAGAGCATGCTCCTCAACTATCTACAGTGCACGTGATCTATAATATCAATGTGCAAAGTGCTGATATGATTAACTTAAAAGTCATGACCGCATGTTAGTTCTTGTTTCCTCATTGTTATATGTCAATGCAAAATTGCAGCCTTTGTTTCGGAAGATTGCCTCTGCCCTGCCAGGGATGGAAACTCTTTCTTCTACAAAACAGGAAGACATGGTTGACGTAAATTTAAAACCCACTGTGAATTCATCCAATACAGAGCAGCAGGGAGGAGGTTGTGCATGTTAGAGGAGAATCTCCTAAGAATCAGGAGATATACATATTCAGTGAGCATAATACTGGGAATGACCTCATAATTGTTATGCGAAGGTAGAGGAAGCGTGCTTTCACATCAATGATCCATCAGTTAATTGGTGCATGGGACAAGTTGCGGTAATGTTTTGACGCATGACAAAAAAGATTGATAGTTATTTTTTCATTTGTTATGCAATTAGTCCCTGAATGTAAGAATACAGGTAATAAACAAGCTCTCTAAATTCTGTCTTAGGTGTATGTTATTTTCTTTTTTTCAAATATTTCATAAAGAATGATTGAATGTATTTGCAAGTGCAAGCCCAGAAATATATAACCCTCCGACCAATCCCTTTTGCTTTAGGACACTCGCAATCCTATGAAAAGCAGAGTTGCATACTTAGTAGAGATGATCGTGGATTTTGGCGTTGACTTGAAAATCGACTAATCTGAACCAAGCAAATCTATAAAATGAGTTGCGTCGTCGGAAAGGCGAATTATTTTTGTTAAACCTAAAACTAACTATTTTTTTATTTGGATTTTAAATTTTATTTTCAGCTCGATTATATCCAAATTTATTTGATCAACCTCATTTCTGCATCATGCAAGAATATTATTTGAAAAATTATTGCAACTACTTTTAACAAGATCTGGCATAACATGACATTATCTTGGTAAACATTTAAAAGAAAACATTAATCCAGTAAAACTCAAATGAACTCTATCACAATTAGAATGTATATCAATTAAAGGAAAAATTATAATCAGAACACGGCGTTGCATTGCTACAATTGGAATACAAATTATGTTTGTTGAGTTTAGATGAAAAGGAATGTTTGAACCAGGGTAGGGCCATACCAGAGAATCAAACTAGTTTAACGAGATCAGTTGGTGGAAACAACAAGAAGTGATAAGGATTGGAATTTTGTCTTTATTTTGCTTGAAGAAAATCATGAATGATGTGATATGACCTAAGAGCATGATTTTCGGTGGAAATACACCGTGGCTACCCTTGTTCCAATGTTTATACTTTTTCTACGTTTTTCTTTTCAACTTTCTTCATATCAACAACGCTCTCATTTTAGTTCTTTTAGTTTTAATTAGATTAAAATAATATATAATTAAATTTATAGGTTAAATGTATTGTTTAACATGACCCATTTTAGAATTTTTAATAAGTTAGTTAAATAATTGAGAAGTATGAAATAATATAAAAATATAACGGGATCCATTTTAAGAACTAATATGAGTGTAATAAACATTGATACTCTAAGTTTTGAACATTTTTTCGCCACACCCGAGTATTTTGCTCAATCTACAACTTTACCTTACGAGTTTAATGTTTATCACCGGATGACAACCATTTATATATATTATTTTTAAAAATTGAATAAAAGTTAATATTTTAAAAATGATTAAATGCATTTTTGATTCCTCTAAATTTTTTATTTTGATTTCTATAATTTTTTTTATCTTAGTTCTTATATTTCACTTTTTACATGCACTTTAATTTTTAAACTCAAAATTCGAAGAAAAATCTACATGAAAGTGCAAATTTTAATCTTAGAAATTAAAACGCACACAAAAAATAAGATATAAAGATTAAGATTAAAAAATTACAAAAATTAAAATTAAAAATTCATTAATTTATAGGGACCAACAAATTATTTAAACCTTTTAAACATTGTTAACAATTATAATTAACTGTCTTGGATATATAAATTAAATATGATTAAAAGCTGTATAAATATATTAAATATATATATATATATATATATATATATATATATATATATATATATATATATATATATATATATATATATATATATATATATATATATATATATATATATATATATATATATATATATATATATATATATATTCTATTTTATTCGATAGATTAATCTCGTGGTTTCATAGATTCATCTTGGAGTTTATTTTAATCATTTAATTTATAAAATATTTAAATTAATCATTTAACTCTTTAAAATGTTTCAGTTTTTTTCTTCTACCAATTAACCGTGAACAAAATTAAAAATCTATCATTAAATTTATTTTTAATTAGACAAAAAAATTAATATAATATATTTTAAAGAGTTAAAAAATAATATGAATTTTTTAAATTAAAAGATAAAAAAAAACTTTAAAATTAACATACTGAATCAAATATTGTATTAAACCTTAAATTTAAAAAAAAAAAAAAAAAAAAAAAAAAAAAAAAAAAAGAAGCTAAGATACAAAATTTAAGTTGTACGTCCTAGTCGTGAACCTGACTTATAAGCCCATAAACAAAAGATTTTTCTACTTTGGAGGCGACGGAGACAACAAAAATTCCTCTACTTAGCAGTATATCCTCGACTACAACAATAAAAGAGACGCTAGTTGAGATGTGAATCATACTCATCTGATTGTGACCCAACCAGCATCAGAGTTGCACAACAGTACTAGTCATAAAAAGCTAAAAACAATAAAACCAGAGAATCTTTAAAAACGAAAAAATTAGATTAAAAATGGAAAAGTCGAAAGTAGTAATAAAAAAACTAAAAACCACGAAAGGCAAAATTGAAATTTAGGAAAGTGGAAAGTAAGAAAAAAAAGTTATTTCCATTTTAAAATAAGTGATTATTTAAATAAAGAAGCACGATACACCTACCTCCGTCAGCAAACCAACACACGATGCAGTTTGCGACGGTGGAAACTACGTTGAATCAGCAATTATAATAGCATTTCATTCCTTTCTCAATTTTTCCTCACACATTCCAACCAAAACCTGAAAAACACATACCAGATCAATTTTTACAACTAAAAACAAAAACAATGTTCCACTTGATCAAACAAAACAAATCCTCAGATTCGTTCTTCCCAGGTGGTCTTTTCCTTGACTCTACCACCCTCCCCACGTCCTTCGTTACATCAATTCCATCTTCTTCTTCATCCAATTCATCCACAGTTTCATGTTTTTCCTGGGGTATCAGAAAAAGTGCTGGCACCGAGATTCTTAGGGTACAAGGCGCCATTAATGGCAGTTGCGTTTTCGCATCCTTGAGTCTGTCAATAAACGGAACCGACGCAGATCATAGTCATAGTCATAGTCATAGATACACTCGAGAATCCAATGAAGTTTCAGAGCAACACCAGAAAAAAGTGGAAGAAGGTGTGTATCAAGAGAACGAGAACGAGAACGAGAAGGAAAGTATTCTGGTTAACGGATCCGGTGCTGTTAACATGACCAAACATCTCTGGGCTGGTGCTTTTTCCGCCATGGTCTCAAGGTCTTCACTTCTCAATCTCTAATAATCACTGTTATAGTTTGTCACAACATTGATTCTGATATTGATATCTTAATGGACTCTATGAGTGTAAATTGTGTTGGTTTTTCAGGACTTTTGTTGCGCCACTTGAGAGACTTAAGCTCGAATACATTGTTCGCGGGGAACAGAAGAGTCTTGTTGAGCTCATTCAGACAATTGCAGTTTCTCAAGGGTTGAAAGGCTTTTGGAAAGGAAATTTTGTGAATATTCTTCGGACCGCGCCTTTTAAGGCTATAAATTTTTATGCCTATGATACATATAAAACTAAACTGGTGAGAATGTTGGGGAATGATGAATCCTCAAATTTTGAGAGGTTTGTTGCTGGTGCTGCTGCTGGGATTACGGCTACATTGCTATGCTTGCCCATGGACACTGTGAGTTCAAATTCATGGACTACAATACTACTTTTTTTTTTCTTTTATGTGTTTAGGTTTTCTTTGGATTATGATGCTGATAATTTATAATTGATTTACATACTGTGTAATCTAAACATTTGCTCTATAGACTATTAGAAGTTGTAAGCACGTCTTAGGTCATCATTCTGCATTCCTCTCTCTGATATTTATATTTCTCGAGGATGTTCCTTGACTGTAGCATAATCATTGTTGAATAACAATAACCTTGAAACTTGCATCATGTTATATTCTTAAAAAAAACGTCTTTTAAGATTTTATTTGAATACCAAAGGCGCTGTTGACGGTCCATATATATTGTCTCATCTTTGTAGACGTAGAACGCATAAAAGTTGTAGTTGCATTCTAATAGTTGTTTCTTTCAGATCAGGACAGTTATGGTAGCACCTGGTGGTGAAGCATTGGGAGGTGTAATCGGTGTGTTCCGCTATATGATCAAAACGGAGGGCTTCTTTTCCCTTTACAAAGGTTTAGTACCCTCCATTATCAGCATGGCACCTTCAGGTGCTGTCTACTATGGTGTTTACGATATTTTAAAGTCGGCATATCTACATTCGCCCGAGGGAATGAAAAGAATCCAATATATGAAAGAAGAGGCTCAAGAGTTGAATGCTTTGGCACAACTGGAATTGGGCACTGTTAGAACTTTATTATATGGTGCTATTGCTGGTTGTTGTTCTGAAGCTGCTACATATCCCTTTGAAGTTGTAAGGAGACAGCTTCAATTGCAAGTTCAGGCAACCCGGTTGAACGCGCTGGCAACTTGTGTCAAGATTGTTGAGCAAGGAGGTGTTCCTGCTCTCTATGCAGGATTAACTCCCAGTTTATTGCAAGTATAATCTCTTCTCTGAAATATATATACTTTGTTCTGTGCAGCAAGTTGTACATTAAATTTCATGTAGTCGCCTACCTGAACCGACATCAAGATTAGATGATTTATGTTTCGACTTTTTATACTGTCAGTAAATCGTAATTGTCAGATCATTAAAAACTCATGATTTAATGTGGTTCTTTCAGGTGTTACCATCTGCGGCTATTAGTTACTTTGTATACGAGTTCATGAAGATAGTTCTCAAAGTAGAATCAACTTAGGTAGATTATCATACAAGCAATTCAAACATCAGATATAGTTTGATAATTGAAGATGAGAGTTTTCTCCACAAATGTGTCGGCATCATGGACCTGAAAGATTTGACTGATTTTTCACACATTTATAACAGTTTGACATACTCGCTGTGAAGGTCTGATGGATTATGCAGCTGGCAAA